GGGCAGGGACGCGCCGCGGCCCCGCCGCTGCCCCGAGCCCCGGGCAGAGCGACGGGCAGAGCCGCTCTCCCGCCGCAGAGGAGAACAAATGTGCCCTAGCAAAGACTCCACCCCGAGAGATCCCGACTCTATTTAACTTTATTAAATGCGTGTACAGTCGAATGTCCTGCAACAACGGCCTTGCTGGTTCAAGCGCTACTAGAGAAAAGACAGAGATCAAACAAAAACTACCACGCGTGTATCTTTTGTCTGAGACCTGTGAAATATGTAGATGCCTAGAAAATACTGACTTTGACAGTCATCTCTATGAAGTAATTCACCCTAAAGATATATAGATATATTTTCTTCAAGCAGGTTTTGCTCTATTTCTGTGAATAAACCTTCTTTTCCACTGAGCACGGAGCGGTGTAAATGTTCGTTTCCGACCCTCGGGCTCGACGGGGGAAGGACCGCGCGTCCGCCGGGCCCCCGGGCAGCCACCGCGCTCGGCCGGCGGCCCGGGCCACGGGAAGGCTGCTTCCCGGAGCTAAAGATCTGGAGCAAATCCCTGGGGGAGGGGGAGGCTGGGCCTGCAGCCCGTCCTCGCCGCGGGAGCCCGGCCCCGCAGCGCTGCGGGGATGGGAGCAATTCTCTATTTGATGAAGTCCAGTGGGACGGAGGATCCCCCTCTGAACCCCGGTCCCCGGTGCCGGGAATTTTTTAAGTTAAACACGTCCCCTCTATCGATCAGCGCTCCCGTGGGAGATGAGGCTGAGATAAACAGGAGTGCGGGGCGCTCCCCCGGTACCGGCAGCGGCCGCCGGCAGCTGATGCGCCAGATCCCACCGCGCTGTTTAATGTTTCAGGGTTATGACCGCACTGTTTACAAGACGTCTTCGGTTATTTATACTGTTATTATTAGCAGAGGGGCTTTAAATTTCCGCTTCACTTGCTCTTTCAATACCGTCCCCTCGGTTCTGTCTGATACCTGGGTACTTTCTGGAGGAATGGAGGAGAGGAGTAGCGCCTTGCCCGGGGGCAACAGCGAGTGCTGCAAGACCTTCCCGGGACCGGGGAGGCATCGTGGCCGCTCCCCGGGCCAAGCCCTCAGTCCCGGCCGGGCTGCGGCGGGGACCGGGGGACGGTCAGAGGCAGCGAGGGGGCCACAGGCGCTCCCTGGCGCTGCCTCCCCCCCGGGCATCCCCGGAGGCGGGCGCTGAGCCACCCCGGGCAGCCGTGCGGGCTGGGCTGTGTTTCTTCTCATGCCCCACTTCCCCTCGAGATAACCGGGGGAGTTAGCACGTCCTCCAGGCGACCCAAATCCACCAGTCGGGTTCATGCGTGGGCTACGTTTAATTAAAGCAGCTCGCCCTGGGCCGTGGGCTGTGCAAACAGCTCAGCCCTCGCTGCGCAGAGGGCCAGGGCCCGCTGAACCATCATAAAAAAAAAGAACCATCCTCATGGCTTAGAAGGGGAGGGCTGTTTCATTTCACTTTTGCACAGCTTTATCTCCATCCTGTGCAATTATGAGCAGACCTTCTCACCTGGCCTAACCGCACGCAGTGTGGCCGTGGTGAGCGGGGCTGTGCTAGCTGACACACGCAGTCACACTCAGGCACACGCGGTCAGATGCGTGGGTCAGCTGGCTTTGCTTCCAAACATACCACCCTGAACAGCCAGAGCTCTCACTGATGAGTTGAACACAACTCTGGGAAGCACAAAACACTGGAAGGGCTGATCTCTTCGCCACAGGCATTGGGAAATTCAGTGGGAATTGCTGTTCTCTTAAAGGGAGACAGAATAGAGCCCTCTGACCTTACACAAAGTGCAAATTGACCAATAAATGCACAAAACCCGTTTTAAAGCACTGAATGTACCCACTGAAGTGAGAGTAACTGTTGGATTTAACCACTCAGAATCTTGACTTGAATCCATACTAACCAATACTTGCTTGAGCCTCTCAGCAAGGTGCCATTTTCCTTCTAAAAAGCAGAAATAGGCATCTGGGATGTGCACAGAATTCTGAGTTAAACTCTGAATTGTCTCACACAATGCTTCTTTGCTGTCCTGCTTTGCAATGCCTACTAACTGCTCTCAGCACCCTTCCCACCCTTCTGAGCCAGCCATGCTCACTCTTCGTCCACCACCTGAAACACAGTGTGGAGAAATGTAATAGTCCCCCAGGAAATGTAAGGAGCACAGCCGTAACCATGAGCCAAAAGCTGCAATGTAAGCATAAGGGTAAGAGGAAGACGTAGGCACTGCTGTTCCTCGTGCTGCTACTCCCTTTATCTAGCAGCCTAGATTGCAAGTCTGCAAGTTTTTGGGGACTAAAATATTCCTTAAGCATCCTCCACCTTCCTCAATCCATGCCTCTGAGCAACAGTTAGGCAACAAACAAAAAGACAAAGAGCAACAAGAAATAAACCAGCAATACACGGAAAGGTAAAAAGTGGCTTTATCTCCACTTTGAAGACCATTAACATGTTTTCCAGAGGCAATTATTTGGCTGGGAACCCTTGGCCCACTCACTGGCATGTGTTAGGGCACAGGCTGGGCAGTACTGGCATTTATGTCAGCAGCCCAGGTTTCTTAGATGCATTAAGGAGTCCTACCATGTACCTCAGGAGAACAATGAGTGAAATGATTCTTCCCCGCCGCAGAGCACAATTTTACAGAAAAATATTTGCAAACAGAAAATGTATGTTTAGTCTGACTAAAGCAATTGACTACCTTTGACGGGAACTCGCAAATATGCTGAAGAAAAACAGGGAATTGGTTTAAATATTGATGCCAATGATTTTAAAGGAAATGTTTTGTTTGCTTTCTTGCCTTTCTGTACCAAGTGATGCATTTTAATATTTACCAAAATACACTTACACCCCTTTCCCATGTGGAAACAAAGCTGACTTGATTTATCTCTCCATATCTACATGGATGTAGATGCAGCTGCGTGAGTGTCTGTATACATTCCCTCCTAATAATGCTTGAACTCATTGCCTGATTTCAGCTGAATTTGACAGAGGTCTCAAAGATAACTAAAGCCCTACTTTTTAAAAACTTTTTTCTTTTTTTTTCTGGTGAAAACAGGCAGCTGAGTAGGGAAAATGTTTTTATATTCTGCAACTAAAGGAAAGGTTTCAACACAAACTCAGCCCTTATCAGATACCAGAGGACACAGAGCAGCGTGCCAGCTGTAGATGAAGCTTCAAACGCTGCTTCAGTCACAAGACACGAGTTCATAGAAAAGCTGCTTGTGGACCTATGTTTTTTAAGATGAGAGGTCTCTAAAAATAATTTATTCCCATCTGATACTAGTACTATCATTCTTTTTTTTTTTTTTTTTTTTAATGGAAATCCATTTCCAGCCAACTACTCTGTTTTCAGAGAACTGTTTTTCAGTTCAGCTAGAGACTAAAAAAATCCTTCATTTGGAGAGCTGCACTCAGTGCTTAGGCTCCTGGGTTTGGTGCTCACATTGTGCAGAACTTTTCACAGTCCATGAGGTCTTCACGAGCAAGCATGTTTCCATCCCTTACAGAAAATACATTTTGGTTTATCTTATCCTCAAGCTGGGATGGAAATCTGCCAGCCTGAAACACCAGCATAGCAAGAAAGTCACTTTGCAGGCACCTGCACAATGCCTTTCTGTCCTGGGCACTGACTTGGGCAGCGAGCCCATGGTGATGGTCATGTCCTCAAGCTGCAAGGTGCTCAAGGAGAACATATTCTAGATAGCTTACTGTGTAAAGTGCCTCCAAGTGTAAAATGCCAAGCTCACCTCAGAAACTAAAAGACAAAGAAAACCTGTGTAGTTTCTTCTGTAGGGAAGCTGGTCTGAATCCCGCATATAATGACAGGACCACAAGGACAGGTTTGTTTGAAGCATTTGTATTGGTCGCCCCACAGTTGTGTCTGCCTGCAAAAGCATGCTACCCTGGGAAGGAATTGCAGGTATTTTTCAAAAGGTATTCTTTCCTGAAGCCCCACTGTCATTGCCATTCATTAGTATTTGTAGTTTAAAAATAAATAAACAAACAAACAAATGAAAAAACATTAGCTAACTGTGGGTGATAAGCTCTCTAAAAAAGAACAAAATTCTGATATAACTGGTGTACAAGTGGAGGGTATAAGCTAATAAAAGTGCAGAGTATTTCTAATTTCTGTCTGGATATCTGAAGGTAGATTGTCACTCACAGCCTTACAAAAGGGACAGGTTTTCAAAAGAAATTTCAATGATATTGAAATGAAATTTGATTTCAATGAAATTGAAAACTGTGGTTTGCAAACAACAGAACATTCTGTAATTTCCATGTAAATACAGGCCTGGAAATACCTCCATGCAGGATTTCTCACAACAGCCAGAGATTGGGATTGTCCCTATTCCTTGCTAGCCATGTAGCACTGACTAGTCCCATATTAAGGCTGAGCTGCCAAATGCAGACCCACAGAGTAAATACAAGTTTGTGCTCAGTATTCAGCCACAGACTTCTTCATGCTTTTCAGCCCAGCGTGCTTTATGGATGGGAAGTGGCACAACCAGCACTAATAACGTTTTTTGTCTCTAGTGCTGCAAAGCTACTGTGTTATTACAGCTTGGTGAGCTTCAGCAACCCAGAGAAGATGTCACAGGTCTGACCTAAAACTTATGCAATGGGAGTGATGGGAAAAAAAACCTCTTGTTACCATTGTGGAAACTGCTGTTGGCAGGCTACAAACCCAGTGAAGTTCTGCAAGTAATTGATTTTTCATTTTCTTCAGTTTATTTCAGACACCGGGGTAATCTGGGCTAGCTGTATGAAACTGACTTTGAGTGGCCTAGGCATGCGGTCATCACATTTCCCAACTGCGCCGTGGACATACCCCAGGGTCACAACAACAGTCCTGAGATGACGCATTTTCTTGCCTTAGGGGTTTGCCCTTAGACTGAAACTTGTAAACAGATGAAATGCATTTTCAAGCCAATGTGGATGCATGCACACAGCTACACCATCCTTGCATGGGGAGTGGAGAGATCCAAACCTTCCTGCAAGGAAAAAAAAAGATTGTAACAAAAGGAGGGGGGTAGAAACCAACACAAACCTTCAAATTCTACAAGGCATTTTCATTAAGCAAGGAGAAAAAAAAAAACCACACAAAAAACCAAACACAAAAAACACACACACACCCCCAAAAAAATTCCCACAACCCTTATTTACATCCCAGACTGCTATGTAAACTATAAGACCATATCCAACTGTAAATATGGATTATCCACACACTCGAGTTTTCCCTCAGTTGTTTACATGCTGTTTAAGAAATGAGGATCAGAAAAACTAGAGGGGAAAAAAAAAAAACAACCAAAAAAAAACGGGAAGGGTACAGCTACACAGCCAGGAGACAAGAGGAAAGGAGGAAAATATACATAAAATAATTCCTCTTCCTCTGCGTACTACTGCTTAGTCCTTGTGAAAGGACGGGCTAGGGAAAGGAGGAACTATCAGCAGCTCCATCACAGCCGGGTGGAGGCAGACCACCGGGGAGATGGAAAGGAAAAAAAAAGATTGTAACA